AGATACACCCCAGGAACTACAAATGGGATTGTGATTGGAGACTCAGTATCGGGAGTCCAGCATCGGTTCTAGACTATTTGATAAATCGTCACGATCCTCTTCCTAGGTAAGATGGCATGACAATTTGGTGACCCATGGAGCCTGTAAAATCACAGAGCTGGACACAATCACTGCACATGTTTTTACATGCATTGGGTGTGCCTTTGAATCTGTGAGTGAGTTACTGTCATGCACATTGGTCATCTGCCAATCTTGGAAGAAGAAACTGACATGTGCAATGATATGTATCCCAGATCTTTTGGTTTAAGGACTCTCAAGGTCCTTTCAACCAATGGACTTGTCTAGTGTCAACACCATTTGAGCCACTCCAATTCTCAAGAGTCTGCATGTTTGGTAAACAGCCCTGATCACATGATGGAAGTGAATCAAGTTGAGTTTCTTCCCTATTTATCATTCACTCCTCATATCTTCTTTTATCTTTGTCAAAGAAGAGGTTAAGTGGAAGGCAGAGAAGAACATTGGTGGAGAAAAGGCTGGGTCAAAAGTAAAATCAAACAAGTCAATGTTGAATTTAGAAATCATCTCATGCTACTTCAACTTGAATAAAAACTTGAAAGGAAATTTGAACAAAAGAAATGGATAAGAATAGAGATCAAAAACCCAAAAAAGGAACCAAGAGCTGTTGTCAAGAATGTGTGAATCTTACACATGTGATGTTTTTTTGTCTACTATTCCCATAAAGGTTTTTCTTAGTAGTTGGTAACACGTTATTAACCGATGGGAATGTGAACTTAGTGGACTGTAATATTACATGTTCAGTTTTACTGACGGGTCGGTCTTCTCTTTCCTTATCTTGATTGAACAGCTATGATGTCATAGTCTGTTTACCACTTCATCGATTCTTTCAAATCATTCCCATCGAGTTCACTATCGTCTCTTTTCCTGTTCTATCTTTCAGTTAGAATTGATAGTTCGTTTGGTTTTTTAAATAAAGTATCAGCTTAAGAAATCTCTCTCAAAAAAGCTCCAACCGTTTTTCTAAAATCATTTTCTCTTTTTAAACCGTTTTTCAATTAACTGCTCATTTAACCGTCTTTATTGGAGCTATCCTAAAAAACCTCTAATGAGTGAAGGTGGTGATTATGATTTCGAAGCTGCTACTCGGGTCACCGAGAATCTCGCCGCCCTTGCAGCCGATTATGAATCGGCCGGAGGTTCTTCAAATAAATCCATGCTTGAGGTCCGTTCGCTATATACCGCGATCGTTCCTGTTACCTCAAAGAATTGGTACATGCAATGGTCAAAGTTTGCATCAGCTCTTATCGAGAAAGATAAAGCCGCAAACTGTCCTGTTTTTCAAAACAAAGGACCTGTTCCTACCGACCCTTTCACATCAGATGATCAACCAGTATATGTCTTTGATCTTAAAGATAACCCGGTATTCCCTCCAGACGCCCCTAGAAGTCGCCACACCTCTCCAGCTCGCAGCCGTCGAAACGATGACCTGCCGATTCTTACTCAGGAACAGATCAACAATGCCCAGAAGGCTCGAGATTTGTTGGACGGCCAGAGAATTTGTTCAAAATCTCCGTCTCCATTTGTTGTTAAAGAGAAGGGTAAATATAGAGAAACAGAGGTTGATTCTGATTCGGATAATGATCAATCAACCAAAAAGTCCAAGAAAATGGAAAAGTCTTGGGAATGGATCGAAAGGGTGGATACTGGTCCCGCGTCTTCTGAACTCTGCTCCGAAAGTGCTATTCCTTTTTCTAAAGCGGTCAGAGGATATGCACCACATTTGGCTAAAGCGGTGGAAGGCTTTATCAATAGAGTTAAACCACCTAACTTCCCTTCTAACTTATGTAAGGAACTTTTACAAGGTAAATATATTGATTTACGAAGGATCAAAGGAGAGTATATCGCCGAGAAGAAAGGAATCGCTTCGAACCTTATGGTCACCGGCAAAGATAAGGATCTCGAAATTCAAAATAAGAAAGTCGCAGCTAACCTTATGGACGCTCAAGAATGGATGTTCTATTTTGATATCCTCCAACAAGGCTATCAAGAAGCTTTTCCAAGCAGTCATCAATATTTTCTTCAATATGCAAAATTCATTAAAGAAGAATTTATGTCTGACGGAGCTAGAGCTGACTGGATGTGTGTGGCTAATTACGATGCGGCCCTTCGAAGTCAATTTGCATCCAGACGCGACATCTCTTTTGCGGATTGGAACCATCCCAGCCTCGGAACCATTCGAACCCGACATATGTCAAGAGCGTTCGATGAGAAACCTTCATACCCTTCGTCTACTTCTCATCCAGGTCCTCAATTGGGTAATCAACGCGCTCGTCAAAGTAATCAATATCAAGCAAGTTCTTCAAGAATTCATCACTCGCCAAATTATTACGATTCGTCTTACAAGCACAAGGGTATTTTTGAAGTGGAAGACTCGGGTGATGTTAAGAAATTCGCAGAGCAGTTCTGTTTCGCTTTTAATCTACCTGGCAAAGGCTGCTTGTTGGGGAAACCTAAATGCCCTCGCATCCACCGTTG